GTTTATAGGTCTGTCCTTGTCGGTCTTTTTCCTTTTTTTTTTTGGGTCTATTCTATACTCTTTCCTTCATTTTTCTCTACAGTATTATGGACGTTATCACGTGTGTGTGGTTGATGCAACATTGTGACTGTCACTGTCTATCTACCACTTGAAGGCACCAGTACATGGCCCCAGCCAAGATGAGAGCCCGATTGAGCCTCTGTGGTGGCAAAGTAAATCGACGGCAGGCAGCCTCTGAAAGGGGCCCGGGGCCGATGTTTGGCATGTGGCGGTGGTTTAATTCAAAATTAATTTTCATTCAGGAGTCCACTTTACAAGACCTTGACGTTCGGAGTGCCGGTCTGTATGATTAGAATGGTTTGTGAACATGATGTCTGAGGCTCTTCGGTTACGTGTACTAGTGAGTAGTAGTGACTCTGCGATGATATATACCAACTGTGCTCCGTGTAATACCCAACTGCCGTACGTAAATATCCGTGGTTGTAGATGACTGGTGTCCACTAGGAGGGTCCAGTCCTTCGCTACCTTCTCAGTTGGTTGTGATTGGAGTGGGGGTGCGGATCCAATCCAATGAAGCGGTCTTTCTGTCACGAACGCACAGGTATTACGTTATGGATCGCACAGTGAATCGCGTATGTTTTCAAAGTAGTGGGCATGTGTCGTCAGCATGCACAGGAGCTCCGAATTATGCACAGAGCAATGGGCACGCGTCCTGTGTGGGTGGGCCCATCATGTGCAGGCCATCTTCACATGGCTTGCACAGTACCAGGGTGGTGGCGTTAGGAATGCGTTTGCTGCTTTGGAAACAATCCAGCATCATGAAAGTTCGTTTGGTTTCGATGCAAGTTAAGATCCACATATATGACTGTTCGAAAATCGAAAGTGATTTGGCTGCACTGTCTCTCTCGGAGGATTCGGGTCTCCTCTACATTCCGAGTCCCAGCAGCATATCATGCACTGGCACTGAAGTTGTCTCCATTGGAGTGACATAAGAAGAGCACCTTGTCACGTCGGTTTTTTTTTTTTTTTTTTTTTTTTTTTTTTTTTTTTGTTTTGTTTTAATGTGGTACAAAACCTGGACTTTGACGGACTGCTTTTTTCTTCTTAAAAAAATAAATAAAATGGATCACTTGCCACTTTTCAATCTATGCGTGTCATCCTTGCGGAGGGGCCATGCTAATAATCTTCTCGCTCTCTCTATCGCTCCAGTTTAATGGATGTCCTGTATGACTTTCTTCTAGACATGTCGGGACAGTGAAAACGAAATCAAAAGGCGCTGTAGTTATTGAAAGCTTACGTTACATCCTCCTCGAAACCTGCAGGAATTGTCAGAAAAAAAAAAAAAAAAAACGGTGGGAATGAATGAATAAATCTAAAAACAGTAGTGTCCTTCGGGACATCTGTTAAAATTGGAACGATACAGAGAGAAAGAAGATTAGCATGTTAAAATTGGAACGATACAGAGAGAAAGAAGATTAGCATGGCCCCTGCACAAGGATGACACGCATAAATCGAGAAATGGTCCAAAAAAAAAAAAAAAAAGATTCAGACAGAGTACGACTTGACGCCACTGGAATGGATATGGAAAGCATTTCAAGGCTCGGGTGTCTTCTCTTTGGACTGTCTGGAGTTGGTTGGGCTTTTGACAAGTCGATGAATGAATAAATCGAGAAACAGCGGACAGATTCAGACGTTTGACGAGTCTTCTACACTTTTCACTGAATAGAACGCCTGGCCATCGTAGCTGTATTTGGGCCACAATTCAGTGGAAGATATTGGTCTAGAATCTAGATACGGCGATGATGACTGGGCGTTCTATTTGGGTAAGAATTTAAGAAGACAGTAGCACAGTTTCTGACGAACTCTGACAAAGCGTGCTCTTCCCGATTGCCAACCATTCTGCCACGCCTGTCCATGAAAAGGGCATCGCCGAACTTCCTCTTAGAACATAGCCAGATGCACCCTCCACAGTTTTCAAGTTTTGTCTTTTTTGCATTTCGACAATCGTGGTGCGACGAGGCCCCAAGTCCAGGAGTGCGTCTCTAAGGAACGATTCCAATTCAGCTCTCACTGTCACTGCTTCTGATCGGGAACCAGATATTTGCTACTAGAAAATCGTCTGTGAAGCGGATGTAATTCATCGCCGCGGCGGTTCCAATGCGTCGTGGGATTCAGACGCGAAGTGTCTGCTCTTCGAGCCTCTTGTTATATTCAATGATAGTTGTTTCTATAAAGTGGTAGAGTTATCAAATATAACCATCCGGGAATATAACAATTCTCGAAGAGCAGACGCTTCAGCGGCTTCACGTCACGTCTGAATTTTGCCAAACACGTCCGTGCAATCACCGTCTTCACCCGAATTCAACGCCCGGTCATTATAGGTGTATTTGGCACAACTTTCAGCCCAGATACGGTGATAACCACCGGGCTTTCTATTCGGGTGAAGACCGTAGTCACCAGCATCTCGCGTGCCCGAGTATATTCCGTTCAGCTGCGTAACAGAGACGTGGCTGGGGTTCAGCCAGGTGGTGCTTGCTATTCTTAGCGCATCAGAACCGCCGAGGAATGCATTTTACATCCCCACCGCTTCACAGATGATATGATTTTCTGTTAGCAATCTCTGGTACATGATCAGCGGCAGTGAAACGTCCTGAGCCCCTTCACAAATGGTCCATGCGAGTCTATGGTATATTACCTTGGGCAGCTCTACATTACTGCGTCAGACGATGGTTGTTTCTATCTAGAGCAGCGTAAGAGATTAGGATGTTAAAGATTTCCGCCCTCTCTGAGGCTCAAGCTGTGGGCTTTATAGCCTGTTGATGTGCCAAAACTCGGTGCAACACCACCGGGCCTAGCTCAGTTGGTACACCCATGAAGTGTTGAAATATGAATCAGACCCAAGTTCGAATCCAGATGCAATCAGATGGACAAAATACAATAAAAATTAATTACCTGCGCCGGTCAGCTAAAGGATGATGCCTCAAGGGCGTCACCCTTTCAAAAACAAAAGGTCGTGTCTGTAAACTCTTTTCCTTTCGCTTTCGATGACGTTTTGTTTTCAGATCCGCTGCGCAGAAAGTTGCTTCTGCTCTGCGTTCTTTGTTGATTTTTTTTATTATTTTTTTTGGATTCACTTTTATAATGTGATCTCTTCGACAAGGGAGAATCTGGAGCGGATTACCCAGATGATTTTCATGTTTTTTGTCTTCCGGGTCGCCCGGGTCCCCGGTGGCTAGCCCGTGCAAGGACCAGGGAAGGCCCAAGCAAAAAAAATAAATAAAAAAAAATCCAAAAAATCCAAGCAAAAAAAAAAAAAAAAAAAAAAAAAAAAAAAATCCAAAAAAACCCAAAAAAATTATGTTATGCAGAAAAATAAACTGAACAACTTTTGCCTCAGGGTCACATCGAAATTCTTCACCAAATTTAGAATACAAAATAAAATTTAAAAATATTTATTTTTATTTTTATTTTTTTATAAATTTTATTATTTTTATTTTTTTTGGCCCGGCCGGGCAAGTGACCCCGGGCCACTCTGGTAGCCCAGGTTTTTAGGCATTTTTTGCTCTTTTTGTTTAGGTTTCATGTTATGTGTGTGACATGCGACTATTAGGATGGGAATCATGGGATGCATAATTTTATTAATTTCATGTGGTGAAAAAATCACAAATTAAAATAAATTTAATAAAACCAAAAAAAAATAAAAAAATCATATTATTTCATGAGGTTAAAAAACAAAAACACAAGGCTGGGCCAAGAACCGGCCGGATCACCTGGCCCGGTCCAACCGGGGCCAGACCGGTCCCGGGGGGGTGAACCGGCAAAACCGGATGCCCCCAAAAAATGCCCAAATTTTTTTTTTTTCTTTTTTTAAATTCTGATGGTGGCATCCGACTGCGCTCGCTGAGATCTGTCGGATTCCGCATTAAACCTCGTGAATTAAGAATGTTTTTGGTGGGGTTGTAATTTGGGATTGGGGTGGGGCACCGGGGGGACATTTTTTTATGGCACGGGGGGTGTTTCTTGGGTCTGCAGGCCAGCAAGCAGCAGCGTACATACCTGATGGAAGACGAGGCAGACGACAGTGCTTGGTGGAAAATGCAAAGAAGAAAAGGGTAAAGAAGAATAAGAAGAAGAAGGAGAAGGAAAAGAAGAAAAAGGAGAAGGAGAAGAAGGAGAAAGGAGGAGGAGGAGAAGAAGAAGAAGAAGAAGAAGAAGAAAAGATAAAACAGATAAAGGCTGATACATTGAGAGCAGCGGCTCAGCAGCCGATCCAAATGTTCTTCAAGTCAAACATGTCTGCAGTGGATCTCGCGATGGCAATGGCGAGCGCGAAGGTGGCGGGCTGGCGCAGGGGCGATGGCTTCAGCGGGCTCGGCTGCAGGTTCACGTCCGCTCGAATGAGCGCGACGTCAGCCTCGACGAAGTGTCCCCTGGTTGGGGTCGCGGCGGTGGGCGGGAGCAGGGCGGCTGTAGGCCAGCAGGCTCGCATTTTCAAATTGGAAACAACGGCCTGCAGGACCCCGGAATTTTGAAAGCTCATGCGGTGGATCTTCACCGTCGATCTCCAATGATCAGCGCTGGAGATCCGCCGCACGTTCTTTCGAAGGCTGGGCGGGCACGGCGACGCCTTGAAGTCCCCGGTAACCCCCCCCCCCCCCAACCGTCATTCGCTGGGATGGACCGGCGGCCTGCCGGACCGGTTGACCGGCCGGCCGGACCGGCAGGCTCCGGGACGTGGGAGCGCCCCCCGGACCATCCGGGGACGAGCACTGCAAAAACAAGAATTATCTCAATTCCAATGAAATGGGAGTTGTTTCCGGCAACGTTTTGCCATTTAATGATTGATCTGATTTTTTGTCCTGTTTCGTCTGTTTGTTCCTTTGCAGGATGAGCTGTTCCTTGATAAGGAGGGTGGAGGCTATTTCAGCGTGCCAGAAGGCGACTCTACCATCCTGCTGCGCATGAAGGAAGATTACGACGGTGCCGAGCCGAGTGGCAACTCGGTTGCAGCGACGAATCTCCTTCGTTTATCTGCGATGCTGTACGGGACGCGGGCGGAAAATTACCGCAGCACTGCGGAGCACGTCATGGTAAGTAAGCCTTAGCGTTCTCCTTTTTGGGGTAAGGACTTGACCATTCCATCCTTGTGGTCTCCTTTTGTTTTTTTTTGTTTTTTGATGGCTGATGTTTTTGTTTCCGTCATGGCACATGATTCTAGCAGCCTGCCTTTTTTTTTTCCTGTGCCCTTTTTGCTGCTGCCCCCCCGCCACACTTTAAAACTGCCAGCAGGCTCAGGCGCAGCGCCTTTCACAGGCAAAGGTTTGTCGAAATTTGTATACAGCAGTGAGTTTGAGATGAATTGTGCTACCAGCATACTTGCAAGCAGACGGACCGGACGAGCGTCCGGTCAGGTCCGGTCTGCTTTGCCGCGTGCGGCACCCTCCCCCCGGACCAGACGGACCTGGACCGGACCGGACAGGGCCATTTTTTTATTTTTTTTTCTGGGGTGGGGCGTAACTGGTCGTCGGGTGCACATTCGTGTGCCACGCGGGTCCGGTCTGGCGGTCTGCCGCACATGCGGAACCGCCCAGACGACGTCCGCTTGCAAGTATGGCTACCAGGGATCGAAATGGGCAGTTTAACCAGCCAAAAAGAAGAGGAAAATGTGCCTGTACTCCCTATTTTTCGTTTTCGGGGGGGGGGAGTGCGTGGCTTGCTGGGGAAAAGCCAGTGTTGGGGAAAGGAGGCTTGGAAATACTGGCGGTTTAAGGACATTTCATTTTAGCTGTACTGAGGGCAACTTTCTGACCAGACGCAGTGATATTGGCCAAATATTCTACTCGGGGGAAAGACGGTAGCCTTATGAAGGATTCTTATGTATGGTGGTGGCATCTTAATCCACCAGTACCTCCGACAGTCACGGCGGGTAATGCGCCCTGACGCGCTTCGATGAACGGGCTTGGGCGCGGGTAAGGCGCCCTGACGCTCTTGGATGAACGGCCCTGGACTAGAGCGCCCAAATTCATCCAAGTAGAAACGCTTCCACTTTACTTTTTCCCCACAGCCGATATATGGCTGAGGTACTGGTGGTTTGACCCGCCAGTACACAGCCCAAGCCTTGCAAGATTACTTCACGGCTCACCCCTTAGAATTTTGGACGCTGCGGGCTACCGGATCACAATGGCTGACCGTGCCAGCCAAAAAAAGGAATAAGTGCACCGCAGGCGGTTCAGCAAAGGTTGGCAACTTGGCACACAGTACAGCCCGCTGGACCCTGGTGAGCCAGGGGCATAAACTGCCAGTACACGACCGCAGCCAACTTCAGCGAAGGTTGGTGCGCAGTGCAGTGCCGCCAGACCCGGGTGTACTAAGCCACCAGTACATGGCCCCAGCCAGCTTGAAAAAACTCATGGCGCGCTTCTAAACTGTTGGATTATTGGGGTTCCCGGACCCCAACGGCTGGCGGCGAGCCAATGAAGAAAAAAGTGTGCCAGTGGCGATTCGGCAAAGGTTTGTTCACAGCGCGAGTCCGCCAGTCTCGTGCGTACTGGTGGTTTCCTAAGGATCGTGGTCCTTCCCTCTGTAATGACCAGATGGAGGGTGATAACCTCTCTCCATTAAACCACCGTTACACTCGGGCCTGGCGGCGCTGCACCGCTCTTCAAGCTTTTGCCGAACCGCCGGTGGCAGGTCTTTTTCCTTTTCGTCAGCGGGCGTCCGGTACTGCGAAATTTCAGTCGCGAGCCATGAAGCTGTGTACTACCCTGCGCGAGATGCGAAGCTTCTCAGGTGGACGATGAACCTCTTTCCGGCGAAAGCGGCTCGGCACTTTTTCAACGTCTTGCCTCTTTCTGCCGAAAAGCTCGGCGGAAACGCCTTTTTTCGTTCTTGGACATTTCATTAAGGATGCATGAGTTGTTGATTCCCACACCAACTGTAACCAACATAGTACCCAATGTCGCTCATCTTGGTTGGTGGTCACCGCCCATCCTGTCCTCCCAGCACCTAAGCTAGCCTACGGGTACAATATGCGACAGGAGTCACTTCGAGCTGAAGACCAATGTATGTGACGACATCGCCAATGCAGACAGCCAGCATACACCAGGTACGCGTCTCTTCTCCCCTCATCACACCCTGTCTCCCACAGCATACGCCTCCTCTCCCGAAGACCACCATCACCAAACCAGCATGTGCCCAGCAGCCCGGTTATGGCCGCCGTGCGCCCGCACGTGGACAGAAAGACCCTATGAAGCTTTACTGTTCCCTGGGATTGGGTTTGGGCTTTTCCTGCGCAGCCTAGGTGGAAGGCTTAGAAGGTGTTTTTCCGGAAAGACTGGAGCCATCAGTGAGATACCACTCTTGAGAAGCACTGCAGCGCCGCACACACCTCCTGCGCCTGTGGGCAGTGCTAATGCAGCCTGATCACGCTACAAAGCAGCAGCGTGGCCGCATTGCCTAATAGGCCAGAATGTCCCGCTGGTTGGGCGCTCACTTTCCTATATGCAAAGTGAGCCCTGCCTCTGGCTGAGCCGGGCCTGGCGAGCCAGTGCCCAGTGGCTTCACATTGAGCCAAAGTGTCTGCACCCAGGCCCAATCAGACAGTTGCCTGGGCGCGCAGTCTTGATGCTGCCCGAATGTGAGACGCGGCTGCTGTCGCACACTGCATTCTCATTGGCCTCCGAAGGCCCAGCCACAGCGCTCCCTGCATTCTCATTGGCCGATAGCCTCTGGCCATCTTGCTGCTGGAGTGAGCTCAGAGGCCCCGCATGTGCTCACACAGGCGGGGGCCCTGTAACCAACTGGCGCGTGGAAACTGTCTGACGCAGAAATGAGACCCATATCAAAATCAGGCCCACCTTCACTTAGGGCGGGCACAGTGCTTGCTGCCTTCTTCCCTCGAATACAACGTATATGGTCATTATAGCTGTATTCGAGGCATCTTTCTGTCTAGATGCAGCCTTGATGACCGTACGGTGTATTCAGGGGAATAAGGTAGGGAGGGCTCCTCGGGGATGTGGAGGCCTCAACCGAGCGGCCAATTTTTGAGCACTTGTTCCTTGCATAAATAAATGAATAAATTATTTTCAGTTTTATTTCGATGCGACCCTGAGGCAAAAAGCGTTCAGTTTATTTTTCTGCATAAGGCTATAAGCAGCATAACATAGCTTTTTTTTTTCTTCTGTTTTTTTTTTTTTTGCTGTTTTTTTTTTTTTTTTTTTTTATAGCTGGGGCCTTCTGTGGTCCTTGCACGACCGGGTCGCCCGGGCAAACAAGGAGTGACCCGGGCGGACCGGCTGGTAGCCCAGGTTCTGTTGGCCTGGCAAAGCTTGTCACAGACTCAGACCTACCCGTTCTCTGAGAACATAGATTTGAACTCGCTTGGGCTTGAGGATTTGCCCGGTGGGACCTTTCCACTACGGTGCTCGAAGGCATGTCTGCAGACAGCCCACTCCGCCTTTCTTTAGCGTAGCTCTTTGCCCATGTCCAATCCAAGAATCGAACACATAACCCGTATGGCTTGCCAGGCAAACCCATAACCAGTAGGCTAACTGGGCTGGGGTGAAAGAGGAGCCTCTGTCCTTGGGGACATCCATTAAAATTGGAACGATACAGAGAAGATTAGCATGGCCCCTGCGCAAGCGTCGCCAGCTGTATTATGGTAGTTGTGAAGAAGTGCTTTAGTTTGAAACCACCACTTCAACGGCGTCTGCACTGTTCATTTTTATTGTCTACAAGTACCGGGCAAAATCTACAGTGCCCGGGCCCGGTTAGAGGTTCAGTGGGAAAGGAAAGGTACCACAAATTGCCTTCTCACCGTCCCGGTGACTCTGTAGATTCTTCTTTTTTTTGCTTTTTGGTAAAACAAAATCCAAAAAAAAAGAAAGTCCGAAACTTTTTTTTTTTTTTTTTTTTGTGTGTGTGTGTGACACTGTGTGTGGCCCAGGTGGGCAAGTGATCCCGCTCCACTCTTGTAGCCTTGCTAACGAGGCAAAAAGTGGAGCTGTCTAAAAACCTGAGGCTGAGGGTTATCGGTTACTTTGCCACTCTACGGCAACTCCACAACCCCTTCTATTTGATGCTACAATCTACAATTCCTGCCGGTACAATTCTTGCCGGAGCCGAAAAAATCAAGTGACTCGGTGGAAGTTGAAACCACCAACTGCTACCATCGTCCCCTGAACAGAGCGTAATGTGCGGTCATTGCCACGGTATCTGAACTGACGACGCTGTAGATTCTTTTTCTTTTTTTATGCGTGTCATCCTTGCGCAGGGGCCATGCTAATCTTCTCTGTATCGTTCCAATTTTAACGGATGTCCTGAAGGACACGACGCTGTAGATTCTAGGCGCGGAGAATTACACAACTTTTCGTGTCGAAAAATGAGAGGCCCGGATGGCGTGGTCGTTTAAACGTTTTAACGTTTGAAAAAGCTCTGCTTGCTGTTGTGTTTGTAAATTTCTCAGGTACCTTCCTTTTTCTTCCCCTCCTTCCTTCCTCTTTTTTTTTGGCCCTCCCCCCTCCTCTTTTCCCTTCTTCAAGGTTTTTTTTTTCTTTTTTACCCTCTTTTTTTTTTTTTTTTCCTTCTTGTGCAAGGGTGATTTTTTTTTCTCTTTTCCCCCTTTTTTTTTTTTTTTTTTTTCGTTTTTTGTGCAAGGGCCATGCTAATCTGCTCTGTATTGTTGCAATTTTCATGTTTAATCAACTTTAATGGCATTTCCCGAAGGACAGTTTGCAGGGACATTGCTTGGTCCCGGGCTCGGTTTACGAGCGATGGCACACGCAATAATAGAAGTGGGGTCTGACCTGCCTACTGACTTCCGCTGAACATAATGCACCCTCATCATGACTGCATCGGACCGGAAAGTAGTGTTGTATACATTCAAAATCAGAGTGCATTGTGATCAGCGGAGGTACGGCAGTGCTATCCAGGAGGACCTCGAGTAATGGCTTTTATGCATCGTAGAAAAGGGTCCGAATGTCACGATTCGCGATCTTCTGAAGTTTTTTTTTTCTTTCTGTAATTCCGTTTTTCGAACTGTTTTCCGTTTTCTGAAGTCTTTGCAGTAAGTAGGAAGTGCATCACGAAAAAATTTTCATTGCTTTCACAACTTTCATTTTTGATGTTTTCGTTTGCCAATTTATTGTCACGCAGGCCGTGTTCGCATCAAGGCTGAAGGATATCCCCATGGCGTTACCTCAGCTCTGCTGTGCCCTTGATCTGCACACGTCAAATATCAAGCGCCAGATTATTGTTGCAGGGGTGAAGGGCAGGCGAGATGCTGAACTGTTAACGAATTGCGCTCATTCCACATTTGAACCAGATTCTGTGGTGAGTTGCTCTCTCTCTCTCTCTCATATTCCACATTTGAACCAGATTCTGTGGTGAGTTGCTCTCTCTCTCTCTCTCTCTCTCTCTCTCTCTCTCTCCTCATTCCACATTTGAACCAGATTCTGTGGTGAGTTGCTCTCTCTCTCTCTCTCTCACACACACACACACACACACACAAACACACACACACTCACACACATACACACACACGGAATGCAGGCAACGACACCACACTGATCAACCTCCTTGCATGTTATGCTTTTAGCTGTTTCTCTTTCCATGTCGTTGTCTGTGGCCCTGTGTGTTTGTTTTTTCCGTTTTTCCTTTTCCCACGTCCTTTTGTGGGGAGCAGGAGGTGGAGAGGAGGATTGTGGAGATGGTCTCATGCCCCAGGAGCATCTGTAGCATGTTTTCACAGCTCCAGCTGTGGGTGGGCAATTTCATGCATGCCCCTGGATCCCAAAGTGGATTCTCACTTTTGTGATTCGCCCCAAATGGGTTCAGAACGGTGCCTTGCAGTGCTATTTCTGTGCTGCTTCTCCTTGTCCTGCTGCTCCTTTCTGACTCCCACTACAACACAGTGTAGTGGTGGTGGTTGGGCTCCACAGGTCTTTTTGTTCCCCCCCCCCCCCCCCCCAGAAAGACCTCGGCAGGGTACTCGGGGGGGTGGGGGGGGGGGGATACGGGTAGCCCTCCCTAGTGGCCCCCAATCGACGGTTGCTGCTCCAGTCTATGTTTGGGGATCATCATCTGCTGGAAATCAGGTCCAGCATTCCGTAGATACACATATTACAGTTCTGCCGGGGCCCAGTACTCGGCTTCGGCTCAAACACACGTCTGAGTCTCTGTGAATGTCTGCTGGAGCAGCCAGCCGATAACTAAGACTCTTAACGTGGTAGGCCTGCCAGCAGTGCCAGGCCGTCAGATCGGGAGAAGTGTGCGTCTGTTCGTCATGATCAGCCGCTGCCAGGCCGTCAGATCGGGAAAAGTGTGCGTCTGTTCGTCATGATCACCCGCTGCCAGGCTGTCCGATCGGGAGAAGTGTGAACTTGTTCGTCATGATCAGCCGCGGCCTGCGTACCACTGGATGCTCACCGAATATAGTCTGCAGGGTGGGCAGGGATCCAGCTTGTTCGTCATGATCAGCCGCCGCCTGCGTACCACTGCATGTTCACCGAATATAGTCTGCAGGGTGGGCAGGGATCCAGGAGCTCTGAAGGGGGCTGCAAAAAAAGGAATTGCTGCGTCGATCGTAGTCCAGACCCTGAAAGTTATGTCATAATCCCGCCGGAACGCTGCTTGACTTGCATCGTTCCGGCTGTGTCCCTCCCAATGAATGCTGGCTATCCGGCCACTTTGCTCGCTCCACAACCATTCCTCCGAAAAAATGTTTAATTGCCCGCCCTTGTCATGTTGTCGTAGGTTTGAGCAAGATCCAGTGCTATTTCGCACACCAGCGGTTTTGCCTACCTTAGCACATGATGTCCCAAAAGTCAATCTTAATCACCCATTAGATTTGTTCTGAAGTTCTCCATATATTTATTGACTACTAACATTCAATGTTTTTAATTTGTTTTATAAGTCATATAAGAGTGATCAAAAAAGATCATACCATGTATGTTTCATAACATATAGAGTCCTCTGCGAGAGTAAAGCCTCACATTTTGTAAAAAATTACATGTGAATAACCGTCGAATATGTGTTGTTTTTTATGTTTGTAAACTTGAAAAAAAAAAAAAAAAATTGAATGTTTCTCGACTTGCGCGTGTCATCCTCGAACGTGCAAAGGGGCCATGCCGATCTTCCTTCCCTGTGGCCCGGTTCCCAGCATGTCCTGCTCCCCACGAATAGATTGGTGCCTTGTCCCCAAGAAAAGAATGTGTGCGCCGAGTGCTCTATCAATAGTCGATATGGTTTTCCCGGACCTTGTAATCGCAGAAGTTCGCATGTGCCCATACGTCTGTTTGGCGCTCATTGAAAGACGTTTATAATTGTGACATGATGTTGCACCCGGTCTTTACGCTTTCTTTTTTTTTTTTTTTTTTTTTGACCATTTCTCAGTTTATAAATATCATCCTTGTTACTTCTGTTTTTTTTTTTTTTGTTTTTTTTTTTTTGAACTAATATAGATATCATTCTCTCAAGATGCCTCCCACTACCTACCGCAGGGCTGATTTCAACTCCCAGAGATGGGTGGGAGGGATATTGGCACTTGCCGCCAACCAACTGGGAGCTCCACGGCTCAAAAAAATTCCACAGGCATGGGGACTGACACTTGCATTCGGACCATACTTGCAAGCTGGCGCCGTCCGGGCGGTTCCGCGCATGCGGCAGACCGCCGGACCGGACCCGTGCGGCGCACGAATGTGCGCCCAACGACCAGTTACGCCCCMCCCCCCAAAAAAAAAAAAGAAAACGCCCCCGTCTGGTCCGGTCCGGGTCCGTCTGGTCCGAGGGGAGGGTGCCGCACGCGGCAAAGCGGACCGGACCGGACGCTCGTCCGGTCCGTCTGCTTGCAAGTATGATTCGGACTGATTCGTCTTGAATGTATTGCGACAAAAGCCAGGTCCGGATTCATTTCAAGTGTTGTGCAGCGGAGAGAGGCGCATGATCTTTTGTTTGCTATGGTTGCCATGATTTGACAGCCGGTCATTCTGTGTTTTCAACTTTTCACTAACATAATAAAATTATTAATATAAAAAATTATTAAAAGTAATATATTTTGGACCTTGCTGCGGACGTACGCATGTCGCTTGCGCCTCTGCTTGTCTCCATCCAGGTATTGTTTGTCGATGATGAAGATGAGAATGTCCGTGCTTTCTGGCACGAGCACAATCCGAATGTATTGGCGATGGCGAAGAAGTTAGACGGCAAGGCTGCCGCGTACATTTGTCAGAACTTCGTCTGCAAGGCGCCAGTTACAGACCCCGAGAGCATGGGGAAGATCTTGCGAGAACCACCAGCGCCGGCATTCAAGCTCAGCACCCTAGACATCCAGTCTGCTATGGATCAGGCAACCCGTCCAGTGAGCTAGTGAGACGCCTCATGAGCCGGGTCTTGTGTCGTTCCAGTTGTGTGCGCCAGAGTATGTGAAGAGCACAACAAATTGTTGACGGAAGTAGAACAGGTATCGGCAGAAAACGAGTCTTGGTTGGAAGTCCATTTGATACTTAGCATCTTGCCAAGGAGGAGGAGGAGGAGGAGATAGGACTGCCATGAGCAGGAGGAGGAGGAGGAGGAGGAGGAGGAGGAGGAGGAGATAGGACTGCCATGAGCAGGAGGAGGAGGAGGAGGAGGAGATAGGACTGCCATGAGCAGGAGGAGGAGATGGGACTGCCATGAGAAGGAGGAGGAGGAGGAGGAGGAGGAGGAGATAGGACTGCCATGAGCTTCTCAGGAGTAGTATGAGCTTTTCTTTCAGAGCTACCTTGTTCCCTGTGCCGAGGAGGAGGAGGAGATATGACTGTCATGAACTTTTCAGTAGTAGTATGAGCTTTTCTTCCAGAGATACCTTCTTCCCTGTATCTGGACTGGAAGTTGGTCTGTATTAGGACTCTTTTTTCTTTCAGATACAACGTCCGGTCATTATAGCTGTATATTTAGACTGAAAGATACCCCAAATACAGCTACACCGTGTATTCGGCTATCCGATGTATTCGGGAGAAGAAGGTAGAGTTTGGGATGTAGCTATTCGGTCTATTCGGCAAAGAAGGTAGAGTTTGGGATGTAGCTATTCGGCTATTCGGTATATTTGGGAGAAGAAGGTAGAGTTTGGGATGTAGCTATTCGGTGTATTCGGGGGAAGAAGGTAGAGTTTGGGATGTAGCTATTCGGCTATTCGGCTATTCGGTGTATTCGGGAGAAGAAGGTAGAGTTTGGGATGTAGCTATTCGCCGTAGTATTCGGTGTATTCGGGGGAAGAAGGTAGAGTTTGGGATGTGGAGCTTTACGAGCCTGCGTTGCACGACTTCAGCAGTTAACAAGTTCACATTTTTCACACTTCTGTGGAATTTTTACCCCCAAAACAGCTACACAATGTATTGGGATGTGAAGCTTTAAGAGCCTGCATTGCACGACTTCACCAGTAGACAACTTCACATTTTCGCACTTACTGTGGAATCCTTGTATAGACGGTACAATGGAGGAACAGAGTAGGGAAGGAAAGGTGTAAGCGAAGTGGAAAGGGAGCACAACGTTCGACTTCACACGTTTTTCACAGTATCGCCCAATCAGGGAGCAGCAGATGCAAGCGTCACGAATGTGGAAAATTGATTCTCTGTCTCTCTCTCTCTGTTTTCAGGACGTCGTCTTCATCATGGTCTAGTTTTCTATCAATCCGTTGACGGATTTCCCAAATGGCCATCTCGCCGACTTCAACAAGGGTCCAGATCACAACAGCATCCATCCTCTGTCGTGTCCCCAAACAGGCGCGCCATCTTTTTTCTTTTTTTTAACAGGCACGCCATCTACTACATCGAGGGTTGAAGCGTTCATTGCACAACAGCATCCATCCTTCTTTGGGATCCCCGACAGATGTCATCTACTTCAACAAGGGTCCAGTTCACAGCAGCAGCGTATTGACTTCGAAAAAATGGTTCAGCGCGTCTATCAATCATGCACATTTTGGCAAAGCACTGTAGTGCAGCCTTGGAACAGCCTACTGGTCTCTGCATGCGGAGTTGGTTTGGTGCGTATGGCTTCCGCCTTCGTAACGCTCGTGCACATCTTGCAAAGACGCTTCGCGTCTGCTCTTCGAGCCTCTACGAATGTTCTTTTATGGCAACAAGGATTGTTGTGAGGAGCCAGCCTTTAGATGGGCCTAGCGTCTTTTTTATCCGAATATGATGCCCAATCATTATAACTGTATCGGGAGCAACCTTCAGCCGACACCAGTGGTTTGACTCAGCAACTTTCAGTCCGCAGCAGTTTGACTCGGCGCTGGGTGAAGACAGTGGCGTCTCTCTCTGCATTTGAATTTGAATTCAGTCCTATGTGTAGCTGTTCTCGATGGCCATCGCCGACTTTCATCGAGGGTACGGTCATCGGTCACGCTGCCAATAAAAAGTTGAAAACACAGCTTTTAGGCACTGTTGTGCAGCGTGCTGCGGTTGCGCGACTCTTTTCTGCGTATCCTCGGTTCAATCAAGTTCAATGTATATGAGCCTATGAGGCCGATATCGCCGTGTCGTCCTCAGCTTAGCCAAGATGTACACTCGCGTTCTATTTGTCCTGATCGGTTGTATGCTCCGACCACTCTATCAAGGTCCAGATTCATTCGTTTCGGATCCCCAGCGTGGCCTGATTCATCCTTTTAGTGGATTCTCTTCGCTCTGTGCACATCTACTGTGTCCAGTGTGTGTGTCTCTCTATCGGGTAGTTTGTGTCGGTGGTAAGTAGGTGCGGAATGTGGTCGCGGCCACCGCAACTGCTTTGGAGGGTGAACTTTTTGCCGCCCGACTGCCTCGGTGGCGCCCCAATTACGTCATCCATTCCCCCTTCGTTTCGGATCCGATGGTCAACTCAGCAAAAAAGAGTATTAAAAAAAAGAAAAAAAAGTGACCGGCACAGAGATTGATAGTCTGTGAGACTGTTGAGGTGCAGTTGGTTTGTCGGCCTCTCTGAGTACCACTCGAGGCCAGAGGAGATCAGTGGGGGGCTGTTCCTTCAAAGAGTATATGGAATTACAAAGGGGTATGCTTGAAATGAAAAGGCGGGGAGTGGGGGATGTGGTTGGCATAAAAAGGGGTTTTGTCTTCATGTGAATTTGGGACTTGAAGCAAAGGAGCAAAAGATTTGAGAGTATTCTTTCGGGTGTGGTCGGAGTTTCAGCTCGTGTTTCGATAGGTATGCTTGAGGTGAGATTCGAGTGAGATGGCACGATGTGCAAGTCATGTCGTCATGGGTGGAGGGGTGGAGGGGGGCCTTGTTCGGGGGTGTAAGGGTGGCAGGGGTTGACTTGAAATTCGGACCGTGCTGTCGCATCTGGCAGCGGAATCCATTTCCTTTTGTCATTTTGAAAACTGACCCGTCGACTCGTCGCAGAAGTACTGAATATATGAGAATGGTGCACTGCCCCATCCCTCCCACTCCCCCCTTGCTGTTTACGATCATCAAGGAAGCTGATGGTGGTTGGATGCAACAAACTTTTCTAGAACGAAGTCGCCGTGGTGAAGATCTGTGGCCCTGGATGCAAATGAAGTGTTCATAGCTCAGACTATGGCTGTGTGAAATTTGCGGTTGATGCCATGAGGTCTCCACAGGCATTTCATGCTGTTTC